TAGGGTTAAACAAATCTAAATCTGTGCTGATCTACGGAGTTAACAAACCAATAATAATTAGGAATCGGATTGGAATTTTCTGTTGATTTCTCCCCAAAGGGTTTTTCGCGGGTTTGATGTTACGAGATATGTCATAATTCTTTTTTCGCATAAATCCCTTAATAGTAAAGTCTGTTAGCGATGCTGTTTCACACTGTACAAGTACAGTTGTAATAGTTTTACAATATTTGAAATATTTAAGTAACAATTATATTAATCCCATATGCTTTTTTATTGTATTGTATTGTATTGTATTGTATTGTATTGTATTGTATTGTATTGTATTGTATTGTATTGTATTGTATTGTATTGTATTGTATTGTATTGTATTGTATTGTAATGTATTGTATTGTAATGTATTGTATTGTATTGTATTGTATTGTATTGTATAGTGTATTGTATTTGTACAATATGTGTAGTGATATATTGAATTCAGTGCCCCAATGTAAAACCAGTTTTAAATGTTTGGGCATACCATTTGTAAAGAAATGTAATAAATAAAGGCATAAAAAATGTCGTAATAAATATATGCTCGACTGGGCTGGATTTACCACGGAGTACGACTAATGCAAAGAGATACTCAAGCCTGGGACATAATTAAAAATTACCGCACGCAAAGATGTTTCAATTTAGAGACATGCTATACAAGAATATTTCCAATCTTACGGGGGGATACAGATTCAATAGGCTAACCCCGTGCTTACTCGGTTTTACGGTGAACCTGTCGCTGATGAGTTGTGTGTCGCCGTCACTGTACTCCAGCAGCCATCGGAGAGCCACGGCAGGCTTGGCATCCCCTACGATGCAGGTCAACCTTGGTTTCTTGATGTCGTTCGGTAACTCTGCCTCGCATGCAGTCTCAGAGATGCGTTCAGTGCATTGAGTTACGTCGGGAAACGGTTCTTTAGGAGATACTTCGCAACATATAAACAAAAATAGCTTTGTTGACAAAATTAGAATATCAGACTTCAAAGTGTCACTAGAATGTTTTTTAGATGACAACTGGTGAAAATGCTAAAAAAAACCTATACTCCAGTTCAGAGAATGTTTTCAAACTTTGACTTCTAAACCCCAATGGGTCTGCATGTTAAAAAAAAATCCTGAACTGTCTCCGCCTTTCAGAAAATTTGTTAAAAACTGAGTTGGACAAAATATTGCCTTTTTTCACCTAATGAAAAACACAAGTTACTAATCGCAACCCACTCACCTTTGATGCTTATATTCACTTGCTCGTCATCCAGTAACCCTGTTGATTTCAGTTTGACGTTACAGTAGTAGGTCCCTTCATCTGAGTCGGTGACGTTCTGAATAACAAGAAAGAAATTTCTGTTGATATCATACACGCCCTCCGGGATGCCGTTTTGTGGAGCGACGTTCCCTTTGAAGTAGGAGATCAAGATGTTTTCATCTCGTACTCGGGGGAGTACCAGTACATGACTTCGATCTGATCCAGCGGGATTCGACTGGATGCGACGAGAGGGCAGGACAGGATGCCAGGGTTGCCTCGCTCCAGAAATATGGTTCCATCCTCCCTGTTATTACTTGCCTGGATGCGAACAACCACCACAGAAATAACTACAAAGGGGAATACCAATTGATCAAGTTAGAAATGATAAATAAGTCAAAATTCTAAAGAATCATGATGGTGGGAAATTAATGGGACAAATTTGAAAGATAAAAATACTTCCTGTTTATCAGCCTACACCTAAGGTACACTGCATCCTATAAAGCGCCCAAATTGGGTTACAAAAAGCGCTTCAAACAAGATGATATTTATTGGAAAGATAATTAAACAGTAGAATATTTACGTCCACACAACCATTAATGGAACAAATTTTCAAAAGAAAAAATACATCCTGCACATCCTGCATATCAGCTTACACCAGCAAAACGCGCTTCAACGAAATGATATTTAATTGAAAGAGAATTTAACAGTAGAATGTTTACGTCCACACAACAATCCTTCAGATAAATTGTTCGCATTGTATTGGGCAAAGAAAAGATAATGTCATTACCAAGAACCATCCACATGTTTGCTCTGTGTGCGTGGATCATGTTGAAAAGCATCATCGCTGAAAAGGAATGAATAGAAATTGGTATTGATACACCAAATAGTAAGGCAACCTTCCATTGCAGATTTAACCAGCTTATACCAACAATATATCAGTCGACCCCAACCTGGTGAGCCCGTTATGATGACACACTCGTTGTTCATGTACACAGCCTGGTACGTGCCCTGGTCTCCCATGGGACGTTTAAATTGTGCGCGGGAAAATGCAACAACGCGGGAAAATGCACAACTACTGACTTGGAGCAAGTCTAGTCAGTGAGCAAACCTAGTACCTGGGAACCACCGAGGAAGGTGTAGGCTGCATAAAATAGTGAATCTCTGTCATTCGGCCTCAAATATAACTACAAAATCTGAAAGTTTATATTTCTTGCTCTCATGTGAAGTTTTCTGTTACGATCGGGTGCTCGAAGCCGTACATGACTGTCGGGAACATGCATGTAAATTTTGTCACAGTCATGTCTACAAATGGGACCTAAGCAGTGACAGTGTCAAACCCCAGCTCTAACGCTCATTGAACATTTGAAATGTTTCGACTTTCGAAAGAGTATTAGACTAAGAGCGGTTTCCCAAGCTAGAAAAACTCATAAGAATACTTCTTTCGTTACCTTACAAAAGAATTATAGGAAAAAAACTTACACGCATTGAGCTTCTCAGCCCGATATTAAACAGGTCCCCCATAAAAAAAAAATATATAAAAACAAAAATATGGGGCTGAAAACACGTACCGAGAAATCTACTTCTTTCGATAACTTTATACAAAACAAAATTATAGAAAAAAATTACATGTGATATTCTTGTAGTAAAACAGACGGATCTTCCATAAAAATATAAAACCAGAATATGGCGCTGAAAACACGTACCTGAAAATCGGAAAGTTAATGTGTGCTACAAACAACTGTACGAGTTGACCTTATCCACTTGCCACAAAGGGTGAACGGCCCAACAGTGCAAGCAGAACATTTAGCATCGTTCTCGTTTGATTATTAAGATACAGAACACTTCACGCAATGTGGTACATTTAAACTAACTTAAATATTATAAAGGATTCATTATAATTATTTGTCTGACCTCTCAGCTGTGAACCATTAAAGACGTCCCCTACACGTCTGCGAAAATTACTCACTCCTAAAACGGGTACTCCCCATATGTATACGTCCCCTACACAAAATAGTGCAACAATTATTAAGGCTAAGTACGAAACCAAAATCATGACGCTAATCCCCCCCCGTCCCCACTGAATATACTTAAGTATATATATACCCCATGGTACGTGAAACAAAACAAATTTATTGGGCAAGTTTCAGTAGGTAGAGGATAGTGTACGTTTCATTAACATGTGAAACACGTGCAGGAGCCTTTTGTATTTTCGGTCCAAATCGCCGGTTGAAACTTCGAAGACTTTTGCGAGATCCTCACGGGTGCACTATTTCAAGTGAGAATTTCGACGCGTTGTCATTAGCATTATTTCAATGGGGCTTGAATTAGTTCAGTGCACCATCAGGTACGTACCTTGGCCACTGATCTCTATATAAAAACTGGATAGCGGATAAAGAGCCGCACAATGAATGAATTTGACGCCATACTGGTGAGACCAGTGAGACCAGCTGGTGATCTACAAAGGACAAGTTGCCGCCTTTACAGACAGCATGATTTATTTTGTTACATCGCGTTTCACTTAACTTATATTTTGACCACCACCACTGACCAAGGTTTACAATTTTTCTAACGTCGATGTTTACTTTTTTAATGCTGCAGTTCACTTTTTCGGCGTTTTGGTAATAATCATTACGGAAATGTGTCCCTTTTAGAACATCATAATAAGTGTACGTGACCAAAACGCGCTGTTGATACAACGCGCGCGTATATACGCGTAGGACGTTCGTATTATACGCGGCCATCTTCGTGAGGCCGGGGGCGAATTGGTCAATATGCAAAGTCTGCTGTGTGAAAGATGTATGGATATCCGCTATCAAGTCTTTATATAGAGATCAGTGACCTTGGCCTAAAAAAAGCACGCGCGCGCGAACTGCATGCAATGAATGCTTATTAATATTGTAACGAAACATTGGACATAGTGCCAGTCTAGGGTACTGGTGCCCGCGTCGGTGGTCTCCGCGCTGCTTCTGTCTGCACGCGCTGTCCGCGGGTATAAAAGTGTGCGTCAGCCGCGCGCGCGATACCCACTCAGTCACAAGCTGAGTCACAAGCAGAAGCGCATGACACTAGTTAGTTCTTGAGTGAGTCGTCAGTCGGTTGAATGCAGGTCTGACAGCGCTGCGATTAATTATCCGCTAGCGAGTTAATCCAGACGAGGGACCCACCGGACGGGCTGCCTTTACATCACTAGTTGGTGAGTTAACTGGCCAGGAAGAGTTAGAATAAGCAGCCAACGTTGTGTCCACGTTAGAGTTAGCGATAGACGCCTATATAGGAGACGCCTGTTTAGGCGCACACAATAAAACACCATTGTTAAGTTATATAAAAAGGACTGTGGCTTAATCATTGTCTCTCGTGAGTTATTGAGCCTAATAGGGTGAGAGTGATTGAGTGCGAGTATCTCTGGTCCACTGCAATGCCTGGGGGTATACTTCCTCCAAACGAAGTAACGTCCCGGGTTTCCCGGTAACCGCTCATCGGGAAAGCCTAATCCTGTCAGCGTCCGTCCGGCGGCATCTTCCGGTAGGAGGCAGGGACGAAGGGTCGACGGACCGTTACAAATTTGGTGTCAGAAGTGAGATTAGCGTTGCAGTGACATCAGTCACCATCAATCATCGATAGAGTGTGAAGGAGTACTTCACCTACCTAGGCGTCATGGCTGTCAGCCTCAAGTACAAGACTTCAAGTACAAGAACTACTCGAGACACTCAACATTGGACATCGGGGTTCGGTGATGTCAGCGCCTGCTCTGCGGTCAAGAATTCCACCTACTCCAAAACCTAGAAGGAAATTTAACACATTCGCACCTCCACCTACCCCAGTGCCTACGCAACCAGCTTCATCGACGCCTACGGCTGATACCAGCAACCTTGTAGGATGGACACCTTCCAGATGTGACAGTGAAGTTTCGCCCTCGAGTGCAATAGAAGATGTCTCTCTGCGAGTGAATCATAGCGCCAAGTTCGAAAGAGGCGAGCTGGATCCATTTGGCGCCAGGGAGAAAACCACAACGAAGGAGAAGGGCAGCTGCGAGTCGAGCACTAGTACTAGTAAGCGGCCGAACATCCTAACAGACCGATTCAACGGGAAGACCCCTTGGAGGGAGTATAAGCAACACTTCAAGGCGTGTAAACTGGCAAATGCTTGGACCGATAGTCAAGCGAAAGCTTTCCTTGCAGCAAGTCTCCAAAGCGCGGCAGTGAAAGTGCTTGGGAACCTCGCTTCCAGCGGCAAAGACGTTACCTATACAGAGCTGATATGTCTCCTTGAAAAGCGATTTGGCCCCGGACAAATGGCGGAAAATCACCTAGTGGAACTTCGCCACAGGCGTCAAGGAGATAAGGAGACGTTGCAAGAGTTGGGACAATCCATACGTGACCTGTCGGCACTCGCCTATCCAGAATTGACAGACGACGGGCGAGATCGCCTAGCTAGGGGTCATTTTTCAGACGCAATTCGGGAGCAAGCCATCCGCGAAGGAGTGTTCAGGGCAAGACCATCGTCACTTGATGAAGCCATCCGCGCCGCCTTAAGCACAGAGAGCTTCCTTAAGATTGAGGAACAACGGAGTGACAGACGAGTCAAGTACGCCCGAGGAGTAGACGGGATATCTAACGATCCTATGCAGGAGGTCAAGAGTGAAGAGAGTAGAAGTCAAGTAAAGGAGTCTTTTATTCAGAGTGCAAGTGACCAAGAAGTTAAGGAGTGGCTCCAAAGGATGACAAAAATGCTAGAGGACATGAAGTCAAAGCGAAACCCAGAAGCGCCTAGAGGGCCGAGGATTGCTGCCAGGCGCAAGGCAACTCCCCAAGACGTGTGCTTCAAGTGCAATAACCGAGGGCATTTTGCACGGGAGTGCAGGAAGCGCGTCCGACATGACATCGACAGACAGGCGTCGGGAAACGACAGCCAGCTGGCTCCAAGGCCCAAAGGGACAGCTGGAGAAATAGACGGGCCGAAACACCAGAACGGAGACAACTACGAGCGACCAAGTAGGGATGGGAGAGATGTGAAGCCTACCGTTGGCCAAAAGGCGCGCGCTGGACTATTTGTACAGGCGTTTATAAGGGGAGTCAAGGCAAACCTCTTGGTGGACACAGGTGCGACGGACTCCGTCCTATCGTCAGAGTTTTACTACAAGATTCCCATTGAGAAACGACCTAAGCTGGAGAGTGGAGGTACAGGAGTTCGTAACGCTGACGGTAGCAACATGGAAACTCTCGGAAGAGCCTTGGTAGATGTGCAAATTGGAAGGACGACGTGTCCCGTTCGGGCTGTTTTCGGCAAAATAGGTGAAGTTGAAGGAATCCTGGGAATGGATTTTCTGTTGCCAACGTAGGGTTCCTTGGACTTCCATTCTCTTGAACTGAAACTAAATGGGGAGAAAATAACATGCAATGACCTAAATGGAGGAGGCCTATGTGCAAGGGTAATCGTAGGAGAAACAACGAGGGTTCCCGCAGGACATGACGCATTAGTGGCTGGGTTGATGACGGGAGAGCACGTCAGGAGTCAGCTGGGTCTTATAGAGCCTTCTGATCGAAGTGAGGTGGCGGACAAGGGCATGATCGTCGCGCGTGTTCTTGTGAATCCAGGAGAAGAGTTGCTTCCCGTGCGTGTGTTCAACACTGGAAAGAGGGAATGTGTCGTGAGGCGAGGTACTATGGTGGGATTCCTAACGCCTGTGGGGAATGATGAAGTAGAGAATGGGCTGATATCGCCCACTGAGACGGGGCAGGGTAGATGTCCCCGAACACCTTAAGGATCTGTACAACCGTAGCATCCAAGATGTGGAGAGGCAGTACCATAGGAAAGTAGGTGAACTCTTGCGGACATACCACGACGTTTTTGCAAGGAGCGACACAGATATCGGCCGTACAGACCTGGTCCGACATAGGATAAACACAGGCGAAGCGCATCCTATCAAGGAGCGGCCCAGGCGTTTTCCTCCAAGTGAACAGAAAGAAATCAATCGGCAAATCAAGGAAATGGTTAGGGAGGGTAGGATAGAGCCGACATAAAGTCCTTGGGCATCAAATGTGGTCCTCGTTAAGAAGAAGGACGGCAGCCAACGCTTTTGTGTAGATTACCGGCGCCTAAATGCGGTAACCATCAAGGACGCCTTCCCTATACACCGCGTCGACGAGTCCCTGGACACCCTATCCGGCAGCAAGTGGTTTTCCACCTTCGACCAGGAGTCCGGGTATTGGCAGGTGGAGCTCGACGATGATGCGTGAGAGAAATCGGCATGGCGAGTCATGCCATTCGGATTATGTAATGCTCCATCCACCTTTGAGCGGCTGATGGAGCGGGTGCTAGCTGGCCTTCACTGGGAAACCTTATTGGTTTACTTGGATGATGTAATCGTCTTTGCAACAACGGTGGAGGATGAGTTGAGCCGACTCGAGACAGTATTCCAACGCCTGCGAGCGTCCGGTCTCGAGCTTAAACCTAAAAAGTGTCACCTGTTCAGGAGGAGTGTACTGTACCTAAGGCATGTCGTGTCGTATGAGGGTATCGCTACTGACCCGGACAAGATTCGCGCCATACGGGAGTGGCCATCACCCAAGACGGTAAAAGATGTCCAGAGCTTTTTAGGTCTGGCGTCTTGTTACAGGAGGTACATCAGAGGGTTTGCTGACATCGCCCGCCCCCTGCATGGTCTCACCGAGAAGTCCAGAGACTTCATTTGGAGTAGCGCCTGAGTGTGAAGACGCCTTTCAGGAGCTGAAGATGAGACTACAACAATCACCTATACTCGCCTATCCTGTTGCAGATGCCGATTACATCTTGGATACTGATGTCAGTGGGTCGGGTATAGGAGCTGTTCTATCGCAGATTGTTGAAGGTCAAGAACAAGTCATCGCCTACGCGAGTAGAGTGTTAAGCAAGGCTAAGCGCAATTACTGCGTTACGAGGCGCAAGCTCTACCTCGGCAGTACCTGTACGGGCGTAGAATTACCATTTGGACAGACCACGGAGCCTTGCGATGGCTTGTAAAGCCTAATCTGTCAGCGTCCGTCCGGCGGCATCTCCTGGCTGGAGGCAGGGACGAAGGGTCGGCGGACCGTTACAATATTAAGCTGGCCATCTGAAGCTCGACCAATCAGTGGGCGTACATCTTTATTGGGGTCACAAGGTCATACCGTTTCTAATTGCTTGAACAATGGCGACCATCTTTCGCGTTGTAAAAAAATGCAGGTGGTTGGAAACTTCAGGTGAACATGGAATTCTTAAGATATTTACGACATCATGTTCACGAGATTTTTTGTAGATGAAGGTCCATACTTAATTTGATTATCTCAACATTTGGGAGACTTGCGTCGTTGTCGACAAAAAAATGAATTTCATCACGTATTTTTTTAGTACATTTGTCCGTGAAATAATATCATCAAAATACATCAAAATCCTTTTTTTTTTGAAAAAAAAAAGACCTTGATAGATGTATGTAGTTGGTCTTTTACTACCTAAAACTGCTTTGTTTGTTTGGATCGGTAGAGGTTTGGTAGTCCATGTAATTCGCCACTGTCTGTTATGCGCGAACAGATTTGCTGATTAATTAGGCAAGACCCCACCTCTTGACTTCCTAGGTTTTGACCAATCAGCGGGCGCTTTCTATAGGCCTATCGGGTCTTCGGTCATTCAACCGTTGCGCGTCATAGACATGGATTAAAAAATACTGTCACGGAGCGCGGCGCTCGGAATCATGTTACGCAAATGCGCTCCCGGCTGTTGTTGTATTACAGAACACTGCATTCGAATTGACAAATCACAGCGTTAGTCCTGATTTGGGAATGAAATGACGTCACGATTTAATAAAGTCGACTATGATTGGCTGTGCGCGGCTTGCGTAAATTTGCATGTCAGGAGATGTCAGACCTTCGACCGTATGAGGCGCAGTGTGTAAATAAATTATTTAACAAATTATTTATAAATAATTCATTATTTATTATATAACTCAGTTTTTCGGCTTATTTAGGTTTATTTATTTATATATAATGCATTATTTACATATCATAAATTTCTTCTCGGACAATATATAAATAATTGTTTGGCAGTTTGCATTATATGCAAATAAATTTATTTGCCACTTAATTATTTACAACTATTTTTTTGTAAACTATAATTATTTTTATATAATTATTTTTTGCAACCTTATTATGTATAATTTTTTCAAACAATAATTATCTATATATCATTTTTTGCAAAATTATTATTTACATATAACTGTTTGCAAACTATAATTATTTATATATAATTCTTTTTAAAACATAATTATCCACAAATAATTTGTTTGCAAATTATAATTATTTATATATAATTTGTTTGCAATATAATTATTTACAAATAGTCTTTTGCTAGCTGTAATTATTTATATATAACGATATTGATCGACCCTCGTCTTTTGCAGTGCATATTACTCTGACATCATGATGACGTCATTGGGTGTCAAATTACAAGCGATTTTAGAGGGAAAAGGGGCCAAATACTTGCACCTATAACTCTTACATAAAATAATCAATTATGTTCCAACTTTGCAATCAGATAGACCATTAGTTGATAAACATTTTTTTGTCGAGTACGTGGATTCGCTTGACCTTCACTTCCGGGTCTACCGGAAGGTCAAAGTTACGTGAATTCAAAATGAAGACTTTAACCTGAAATCAAGACAAAGCAAAATTTCTTCCAAACGGTTTACACTATGATCATCAAACCTAGTGTGAACTTGTAACATGTTACGAAAATGTTATAATCTTTGTAACGTCATCATGACGTCATCAGGTATCAAATTACAAGCGATTTGAGGGCAAGTTTTGACAAAATAGTTTGCGCTATATCTCTTGAACTGAATAGAGTATCGTGTTCGTTTTTTCGTGAGGTTGTAGACTATGCCGTGCAAAACATTTCTTGTCCCCGGACTCAAAACCGCTTGACCTCTACTTCCGGTGTTACCGGAAGTGCAATAAAAACCGAATGTAACTCAAAAGGGAAGCAATTTACTACACACATAAAGATTATGAAAGGTGTTGACGTCATCTTTCAAAAGGGTGCCCTAGCGGCAATTAAAATAGTGTTGCTTTCTTTAATTTGAAAACTGTCTGTTCAAATTTTACAAAATTTCCCCTTGATATTCTCTGATTAACCACAGGTAAATTGGCAAGGTTCCAAATTCACGAGGTAATCAGACCGGAAGTTACTTTTAGGAGAATTTGAAAAGGATCGTATATTAAATTAAATCCTATCATTTGATCCCTGTCGTATCTTCGTAGTCCAAATAATGATATCCATTACAATGTTCACCTTCGGATATCTAATGCTGTGACGTCATCAAACCCCAAGTAAGGCGTTATTAATACATCATCAAACCGGAAGTTAGGTGTTATTAATACAAACAATTATATTTCCCATATTTTCATACGTTATTTTAACTTCACAATCAAAATTTATCCTCTCCAAAGTTTATCAGTATACCGTTTTTCACTGATGATGTCATCAAACCAGAAATAAACGTTTTTGCGCACATACAATGTTTACTGAAATTTATCACACCTTTAAAGATACACTTTTCTAACAAAATAAAGTTTGGTACTGGAAGGGATTTAATTTCGTGATCCTTCGTTGCACTAACTTAACTGGGCAGTGTATAATGAAAAGGCTGTCCGCCCGACTACTCTGCGTTTGTAACTCAACAAACGCGAACCTCTAGTTATATAATTTTGCGCCACACGCATTATTTACGAATAATTAGTTCGGTGCGCAGCGAATGAGGCTATGATTTATATATAATGGTTTTCTCGAATATATAATGGTGTTCTGAAATAAATAATGAAACTCGTATGCAAATTGCCTACACTAGGACACGCCTATGTTTTAAATATTCACATCATATAGCACACCAAAACACCGCACTCGCTATAGAAAACATGCAGTATTGTGTTTTTGGGGTCTGAAATATTTTAATTTGCGCCATGAAAGCTATTGGAAAGGATAAAACCTTGTATTTCAAGTCGATGATTATTCAAAATTACGGAGAATTTAGCTATGCACAACGCTAGTTAAACGATGGCCATCTATCGCGCAGTATTATGTTAGCGCGCCTGACACTGCACTGTGTAGCGCGGGTAATGACCCACTTGCTGTGGTAGGAAGTTTCAGGAAAACACGCTGCTGCAAGCACGAGCGGTACAATCAGTACACCTCATAAACGGTTACACCAAATAAATACATCAAAATGGAAAAGGTTGACCTCGGAAAATACATACATTAAAAGATAGATCACGTTATTTCTGCGAATCAAATTGCAGAATTTGTTTACCTCCATCTATTTTGCATTCTAGT